GCCAGAAGATTAGAGGTGTTACAAGAGAGCAACAAACATAAAAAAGAAGAAGGGGAGATAAGGACGATAGATGTTTGATAGGAAAGAAGAAGCAAACCACACCAGAGCACTCGCCAACCACCCACTCCTTCTTTACTGTGGACAGGTAATGTCTTGTGAAGTGTATAGTAACTCTACGTTACATAATCACTTCATTCTGCACAGGGGGCTCCAGTGGCTAAGTGAGTAGTGAGTTTAGACTCAAGAGTAAAGTCAAGCAAGTGTCGGTGACACAGGGATCAGATAGGTGGTCACTGGGGTGTCTTTGAGCAAGACACGACAAGCCTAACTAAAAAAACAGGGCTCTGCACAGTGGCGACCAGCAATGGCATGGTTATTAAATTGTTCAGTATTGATGTAATATTGTGTATTTATGCATGTATATGGGTATGTATGTACGTATTTATAATTATGTATTTATGAATGTACGTATTTATGTATGTATGTATTTATAATTATGTATTTATGTATGTATGTCTGCCATTGTAAACCAAGTTGCCCCTCTGGGATCAACAAAATTGCAATTATTATTATCGTTATTATTATTTAACTTGATGCGTGGGATTCTCTACCTACCATCGCATGTAGTGATACGCTGCTTCACAACCACAGTATCTCGAGCCGGCCAGAGTCCCCAATTGGTTGTGAGGCATACCTTATTAAAAAAAAGAAGAAAAGAGACAAATAAGTTTCAATGTAAAGCAAAGCCTGACACTTTGTTAAAGAGCGCCTACTTAACGCCCTGGGACGTTTCTTCCATTTTTCTACAATCAAACAAAATGACACCTCTCATAATTTGTCCAGAGAAGTTAAATTACATATCACTTCCTCCTTTTCAGGAACTGAAACAGCTGAGGTGAAGAAACAGAAAACAGTCAACAGAGAAACTATTCTATGACTATGCACGGTAAATGCTGAAGAGAGTGAATAAAAAAGAAAAGAAGTAAATGTCCATTAAAAAAAAAAAGAAAGCCGAATGGGTTCATAATAAAAAACTGAAAACAGGAGCAAAACAATTTTGAGACTGATATAAAGAGCCCCACGGGGGCATTAGGAGTTCTTGGAAAACAACAGATTTCAATGTTCTAATTATAAACCAGCAATTAATAACTTGGAGGGGATCCTTAAGTTTTTATATAAACATGTATTGAAAAATTATTTTTCAAAAAGTGAAGCCCAGCCATTGCAAGCTTTCACCTCACCTAAACAATAACAAAGTTTGCTAGTGAGTCAAAACAACTGACAGTCAGTGTGAAAAACATACCTATCTCCGGGAAAAGAATGAAAGCCTGATGGTAGTAACGCTCAGCGGTTGTTGGTATTGCCATATGATCCACATCACAAATATATCGCACTGCAATACAGACATACATATATTGTTCATATTTGAGGTATCGTGGTGAAACCAGGCGCTCGTCAAAATAATGAAATCGAAGAAACTGGCATTTTTCTGTCTGTTTGGCAATTTTTATCGAATTTTTGCTTTATGACTCAAAACCTTTGAGGTCCATTCTAAAACACATTTCTGTGTGGAATTTACTGAAAAAATGTTGATTTAAGACAAAAATGTAAATTTGCAGTTTCTAAGGACTCTCAAGCTCTGGAAGTCACCAATCTTTAGCAGCCATTTTCTCGTTAATTTATCCTCTGAAACCAGGCGACTCCCACCTCCTTCAATGGCAAATATCTCGACGTCTTTTCATGATATATATGAGTATTTTTTTTTCACACAAAGTAAGACAAATGAACAACCTTTAAAATGATACCAATAATTCCACAAGTGCAACAATTGACGAGCACCTGATTCCCCCGTGTCGTGGCACATAAAACGTTTTAAAAAATCTCTCATCAACAAGCCTGTAATGTACAACTGAGGCACAGATCAAACGAACAAGAATTTCCCCGCAATTTCCAGCATAATCACTCACAATGTTCACTCATCACTACACAACAACTTAAAAACACAGTAACAAAGACACCACAAGTATGCTGGCTCATTCCAGTAACATGAACAGGAAATAATAATAATAATAATAATAATAATAATAATAATAATAAATTGCATTTATATAGTGCATTTCCACAAACAAGTGCTCAATGCGCTGCACAATAATACAAAGAACGTATGCAGCGCACAGCTCCGATAGCAATCTTCTTTCTCTCTCTCACTCACTCTGTCTCTCTCTCTCTCTCATTAACTCACTCAGTGCCTTTGTCCATGAATATGCAAGGTCATGACCAGGCAGCATGGTGCACACAGCCCGTTGTATGTAATGACAGCTGTGCACATCCACAAGTGGAAATGAAACTTTTAAAAGTTCAGATTTTGTAACAAACTCTTCTTTTTTAGTTTAGTTTTGCGGCGGCGCTCGCAACCCAGTAAGGTCATATATTATAAGTGCCAAAGATTAGAGGTGTTACAAGAGAGTAACAAACACAAAAAAGGAGGAAAGATAAGGACGATAGATGTTTGACAGGAAAGAAGAAGCAAACCACACCAGAGCACCCACCAACCACCCACACTGAATTTGAGCTCATTTTCTGTCCCCACAACACTTGCAACACAATAAGGTCATATAAGTGCCGAAGATTAGAGGTGTAACAAGAGAGTGACAAATAGAAAAAAGGAGAGATAGATTTTTTTATAGGAAAGAAGGAGCAAACCACACCAGAGCCCCCGCCAACCACCCACACCATCAGGCTTTGAAGGACACACTGTAATCATAAACACAGACCCAGAGTAATGGGTAGTTTTTTCCCTGACAGAGGCAACATTGGAGCAATGGCAGTGAATGGGTTAATTAATCATTTTCACAGAGCAGGAAAACAATAGACAACCCACACCTACATTTCCATAAAGCCACAATAAAAGGTGATCAGTGATACTTACACACATCTCCCAAACAAATGAGACACCTGTGACACGCTCTCTGAGCCCACTCTTGCACACTCGGGTTGACTGGCTTGACACTACCGGTGTCACCTCTCCTTCCTGGAATGACACAATGCAAATGAAACTTTTTCAATCTCTCCTCCTCCTCCCATCCCATCTCTTAAACACCCATCTTTTGACAGCTTTACTGTTCAAAACAAATGACCTGTCAGTCATCATTAATTTGTCCCCGTCGTTTTATGCAAGAAAAATTCTGAAATTATGCAAACTGAGCCCAAAAATGTGAAATTATGCGATTCTCTTAATTTTAACAAAGAATGAATAAGGAAAACAATCAGAAATGATGCAAAAAATTATCAGATTTTGCTAAATTATGCGGGGTGCATAAAACCATGGGGACAGATTAATATAGGATAAAAAAAATCACATGGAGAAAAGTGATGCAGTTAAATAGATACAAAACCATAAAATGCTGATTGATCCCCCCTCCCTCCCCCGTAAAAAAATCCCCAAAACACACCAAAAAAAAAGTAACGAGATATGACATAACGGAAGCCCACCTGGTCTCTGGTCTTGCAAAAGGTAGTAGTCAATGACGCCGGCCAGTCGTAAGGAAAACTCTCTCTGTAGCCTGAACAGCAAGTGCTGGTAGTAACCTATGGCAGCAGCTAGATGGGTCCTGTAGGCCGTCTCCACGGAGCCATGACGGCGTACATGCTGTTGGGAGGCAGTGGCAAGAATTTTAGTTCTAGTTGTATTTTTAATGACAATAGTAAGGATTAGGAAAGAAAAAGCAGTAGTTCCCTGTTGTATATCAGGCACAGTTATGAGCGTGACATGAACCAGCCCATTTACAATTCTACTGTGTTGAACGAGAAATGTCCCCCCTTTGGGAATGGCCAAAAGACACTACAGTCAGTGGCACTGCCCCGGGGGGCTAGTAAGAGTTTTACAGCCCTTGCAACACAATAAGGTCATATAAAAGTGCTGAAGATTAGAGGTGTTACAAGAGAGTAACAAACAAAAAAGAAGGAAGGGAGATAAAGACAATAGACAAGAAGAAGCAAACCACACCAGAGCACCCCACCAACCACTCACTGGCACAAACTTATATGTAGTAAAGACAAGTTTTACATGAATCTCACACAGGCATTCATTGACCAAAA